CCCCAAAACCCCAAAACCCCAAAACCCCAAAACCCCAAAACCCCTCGCTGTAAACTTATAGCAAAATCTTAAAAATTAAAATTATAAATATACATAAAAATTAACCCGGAATTGTTATTATATTAAATTGACTTAAAAAGGATAATACTTCTTCAAAAATTTTCAGAGCTTACCCTTACCTTATCAATTACACCATAAAACTTACCATCATTTTCTATTCTAAAATGTATTATTAGTGTAAGCGAAAGCCATGGGATCTTAACAAATTGGACCATATAATGGTCTAAACAGCCATCTTTTCCACATTGGGAGACTATCATAATGCTATTGCATTTTTACTTGATTAATGGACTTATATTTCTCTAAATATTCAAGATTTTCAGCTGAAGATGATCGATTTTTTTGAATACTGCCTTTAACTAAAGTTTATTAATCTTCCTCACTTGATGCAGAGCCTAACTTCCTGATTTTTTATCTAGCATCTTAAAGTTATTTTATCTCACTCTCAATAAATTGCTGATACTCAGTTTTTGACTCTTTATTTATTGTCTTATTAATCTAGTGATATTTCTCCATTTCCCTCTTCTGCCGTTCAAGATCCTCCATGAAATCATCTGAGATGCCTGTAAATCTAGAGGAATCACTCATTCCTAGAGACAGTTTATCAACAATCACATTTTTTAATTCCTTAAGTACGTAAGTCTGCTTGAATGGTTCTAGTAGATAGTTATGACTGCCAATGAGTTTATTTTATATACTGTTAACAAAGAATTATGTCTCTAGTTAATCATCATTAATGATTTCTGAGTCACAAACGATGTCCCCCTTCATCTTTTTAACTGCTCCTACCAGTTTATTTTTATATCGATTTATTTTATAGTTCACGAATCCGTCAATACTTTCATGAATAGAAGTATTTTAATCGTTAAGTTTGCTCATAAGCTCAAAACATTATTTGTCCAGTTCCTTTTATCGATTGATATCCTCCTCATATTCTTGTATTGCCGTGACTCTTTTTCTTAAAAAGCTATCATAAAGACTGTCTTCTAAAAACCATCTAAAATTATCATTAAGAATGTATTTTAATGAAGGATGAACTTACTCTTTTGGTCCACTTAATTAGTCAGGACTAGACTTTTAGGTTTAATAACTATGAAATTGATGAAGTGACGGTGGCTCTGAATCTGGCCTAAATACAGGTCTTGGTTTGGGCATAGGATTGTTTAAATCAAATGTGGTATTGTGACTTATAAATCTTAATCTCTCTTACTCACTGCTTGAACTCTTAGTTTATCCAAAACTGGGTTATGAATTAATTACAGCTTCAAGCGCGGGATTTTACTTTTACTTTCTTCTTTCCAAGTTTTTGTTGAATCCTAGATAACTTCTTAATGATTTTATAGGTTCTTTGCTTTAAAGAAGGAATTTTCTGTATAGTGATAGATGATCAATCTTAAGATTATTTCTTTAATCCTCGATCTCTTCAAAATCTATTACATGTCCTAATTTGAGTCTTTCCATCAGAGACTATATCAAATTATGAGTTGATATTTTCAAAAGTTATGAGAGATAATAAATTAAACTGAAATGAAGCTTACCTCTAGCAAAAGGCATACTCTTGAATACTTATACTCGAGTACCCTTATATAGCGATCCTTACTCTCCTCTATAATCATTTTGCGAATGTCTTTGCAAACCTTTAAATTTATTTTATATAAGGGCAATTTTACTCTTGATAATTTTGATAGACTATCGTCATCACAAAAATCTGCTACTAAATTAGTCAGATCTGGTACATCAAAAACTGATTGCTTTCTAATTATGATGCTCTCTGAAATTGAGTCATCCATTGATTAATTCATAAAATTAATTATATATACTTATTTATGGATAATTAATTATTTATATAGAATCTGTGTATTGTATTTATAACACTATCTTGGGGTTTTGGGGTTTTGGGGTTTTGGGG